GCTTCCCAGAATGCATTGCTCAATTACAGTGCTGAAATTAACTGTATGCCACTCTTATTTATTGATAAAAGAATAATCAAGTGCTCCAGCACATTGCTTACTTTGGCCACAATTTTTATATCAAGTTTCAAGTAATGCATTTTTTAACTCTTTCAAGTCTTTTATAAACTCGTAACATTTACTGGGGCCCCAGGTCAATATTTTGTTGCTGTCTGCGTCAATATACCATAAAATATCATCATTTTGCTCCATGTAACCTTCTTGTAAATCAGCTCTGTGATAGTTGACGCTTTTAAATGAGTCTCAGAAAGGAAGGATTTCATTTGCTTTATATATAATAAGGGCCGACAGGGATCTACAGAAATCAAGCGCCGATAACTGTTATTCACTGAAAAAAACACATGCCTAACTTTTTTTTCCACTTGTCTTTTGAATTCGTATAAATCCCATACACATTTTGACAAATATAAATGGTTATACTAAATAAAGGCATTTCAATCAATATTTTAATTAGATTATTTTAGCTTTGTAAGTATAATTAGAATTTTCTTTTTATACTTACAAATGAGACCTATACTTAGTGTCTGCAGCAGTCAGTGCAAAACACCCAGTATGAGTTTATGGTATTTATATGGAGAATATTTTGAAATCAGGATATGAAATCATGTTTTAATAGGCAAAACAACTACAGAAAAAGTGTTTTAAAAACAATGGGCCTGCTTCTATGAAGTTGATGGTAAATTTCCCGTGGACTTCAATGAAAACAGAATCGGGCCCTGAGCTTATTTCTCAGTTTTACTGAAGAAAGAAGAAAAAAAAGAAGAAATTTCTACTTGAACATTTAATTGTTCCATATGCTTAGTCGAACAGAAGAATGAAAGTAAATACACTTTTTAAACCTCAAAGATACTTGCTAATCTATGCATACATTAATCATTTATACCATATGATTATTGTTCAGTATTTGCGTAATAACAAATGGAAGGGTGTGGGGGTTATTGTTGGTTTCAGCAAACCACATTCTATTCAGGCAAAGCCAACTATTAAAGAAAGGCCTAACTTGCCAAACCAAGATAAATACATGCCATTATTATGATTACATAAAAGCCACTGCTCTCAGCATTACAATTTCTCTTATAATTGGCACTATTATAATTAAATGAATGCATATGTTTACAGTTCTTCTTTGAATGGTAAAGTGATTTAGCAATGATGGTGTCTCTAATTTCTTTTAACTGTACTGGCAGACAATCCGTGGTCTAAATACCACATTGCCACAATAAATTAGTTAAGCATCTAGTAAAGTCTCCATTGCTATTGAGTTTAAATGTATTGTAATAAAATAGTTAGTAATATGTACAGGTAGGAAAATATACAGCTATTCATATTATATGAGCAAATCAACTGCAAAAGGCTTTGCTGTAAAATACACGTATTTAAAAATATTAAAAAGTAAGTAGTCAAAGGTACACAAGTCCTGATTAGTGTTGCAACTTTGGTCAAATGTATAAGAGCATTGCTCCCAGGGAGGATTGCATAATTTTGTATAACAGTCTAATTCAATGCAGTATATGTAAACTGTCAGTTAGTGTACACAAAAAGGTGTGACACACAATATGTATGTGTCCTAAGTATTCCAAGCATTCACCTGTACTGACTGACAGCCTATACATTATAGTAAACTTGGGCTAGAAAAGCTACCAATCAGCTTTTTTGAATAATGCATTTTTATTTCTATCTGCTTTGGCTTCTGTATTCACCGGAATATTCAAGAATCTGGTTACAAAAGTGAGAGTGAACAAGGAGTCAAATTATTTTAAAGCTCCCTGCGTTAGCACACATATCATTCATGGCAAATGAGAGGACAAGTGCTTCTGAAACTCTGTTATTATGATTAGACTCTCACAGCTGGAAACTTGAAAGCAGTTCTGTCATTTTCCAACTCCTACAAAGTATTGTTGGGATTTCCTACCTCCATTGTGCTTTGTTAGGTAGCTTACCTGGAGTGCTGTAAAGAAGTCCTGTAATTAAATGTCACTCAGTAGGTTGACCAAACAGACCATAAATACACTGGAAAATTTGAATTCAATCATGACTGTTTCCTGATAGTTCTCTAATTCTTGACACTCAAGCTGGCATTAGAACACCACATTTAAGAACCCACAGATGTGCTGCTTTTGGTTCAAGATTTTGATATTGACACAAAAGTTCAGTGAAAAATCTGAACGTGCTGAACCAGGACAAGGGATGATTGAAGGAAAAGATTAATGTAATTACAGACTGGTTGAGATGTGTGTTGCAAGCAAGATGGAGGATTTTTCATGGTTGTATACCAGCATATGGACAAACAGATCAGGGGATCAAAAAAATGCTAGTTTTCCTGCAAAATCAAAGGGACCATATCACTGTAGCCTTTGTAAAATGTACCGAGATTTCTGACCATTAAGTGTAGACCACCTCTCGGGGTTCTTCACGGAAGGTTAGGTTTTTTTTTTAATTCTCTCTACTAAGCTTAGTCAGGTGTCAGAGTAGCAGCCGTGTTAGTGTGTATCTGCAAAAAGAAAAGGAGGACTTGTGGCACCTTAGAGACTAACAAATTTATTGGAGCATCAGCTTTCGTGAGCTACAGCTCACTTCATCAGATACATGCATCCGATGAAGTGAGCTGTAGCTCACGAAAGCTTTTGCTCAAATAAATTTGTTAGTCTCTAAAGTGCCACAAGTCCTCCTTTTCTTTTTATGCTTAGTCAGTAATTCTATTAAGGAAAAAAATACAATTGATTTATAAGGTTTGGGTTGAATAAATAAAACTGAAAATATTTGGGTAGACCTTGACTCCGTATTTTTTTACCAGATGGTTTATAAGGTATATATGTTGCCTGTATTGTTATTCTGGCTGTTGCCATGTATGTGGCAACATTTTCAGGTCCAGATTTTTCCAGATGTAGTAGTGATACAGTGAGGGATACAAGTCTGGACCCTGTCGGCACTGTGCCCAAATTACTCTCTACCATGAAAAAACACCCTACCATAAAGCCAATGAGTAAGAAGGTGGAGCTAATCCTTCTGGCAAAGGAAGAATCTACAGGCTTTTAAAAGTAGATATGATCATTTCTCTATATTGTGTGTTGTGAATGCCATTTTAACCATGCTACCAATTAGTTCACCCTTAGAAATATCTAATTTGTACAGATCTCCTGTCTTTCCTACACTTGAACTAACCTTTTCATACTTTTTTTTGCCATGCTGATAAACCACATCTATGAGCTATGAAAGAGAGTAGCACTGAAAATCTATTCTAATGCTGTAAATTTAAAAAAAGACAAAAATCAAAAGTACCTGCTCAAGCACATTTAGAAAAATGGAGACAATAAGCACAACCCACTGACTGGACACAGAGGACCAGAGCCCCAGCAGATGTAACCCTCCGCTTAGCTCCACTGATTTCAGTAGACTACATCATTTTACAGCAGCTGTGGATCCCGGTCAGACTATGTACACAGTATTAGCCCAGTGGAGGTCAGTGCTCCAGTTTATAGCTTGATCCTATAAGGTGCTGAGTGACTTCAGTTTCTATTGACTTCAGCACTTGGCAGGAGGCACTCAGCACCATGCAGGGTCAGGCTCTTTCTGAATTGCCCAATGAGGTATATAGGCTGATATTTCTACCCATTCCTAAAAGGTGTGAGTTTTCTTTCAGGTACGAAAATGGGAAAGTTAGTTCTAAGGAAAATAACAACCTATTTGGCCATAAGACCCTATGACTATGGTTGACAGGAATTCAAGATGTAGGCAGCTACAATAGCAGACTGGGCAGGCACAGAAGTAGAGCTCTTACAAAGCATATGGAGGTAGAATTACAGGGTCAGATTTTCAAAAGCACCGTCCAAAGCAGATTCTACAATATTTTGGATTTAAAAATTGATGTATGCAAAAATTTGGCTGAAGACAAATCTACATGCAAAAGCTTAGACGCATGCAGTTTTAGAGGCTCGGTGGAGTTTACTTTGAAAATGTGTCCAGCAAAAGTTTAAGGTGTTTGATTATTAACATCTTCTCCTTTTATACCAGTCAGTTACAAAGTATGAGATCACCAGGTATTTTTGGTGGCCTCTCAATCATGTCAAAGATCATCAGACAAGCAGATGGTGTACATCTGGGCTTACCCAGCAGCAAGGAGAATATTCACTGGCACAGGTAGAATAATAAAGATTGAATTAAGTATACATCATTCATTTAGGACCTGTGGAACTGGATTATTCCTGTTGTTCTATTTACTTCTCTGAACCAGAATGATCTGGCCAGGAAAACAAAAGGAGGTATGTATCATCACAGGAAACTGGGCTAAGAAGCCTTGCAACATCTCGTGCACAAAGCTAACCTATTCCAATCCACTTTGCTGCCTAGGTTGATTCAGTGAGGAGTTGAGAACCAGGATGTTAATGAACCTGTTTTGCAGGGAGGCAATCACGAGGAACTTTTCTGGGATTTCAGTGGGAAACATGACAAGAGGCCAGGTTCTCAGAGGGCATAAATCAGTGTAACTCTATTCGCTTTCATGGAGCTGCATCAATTGACAACAGCTCAGCACCTGCCCCAACCTCTTTAACACCATTTAGATTTGTCTTGGCCACTAATTTATATAAACAACAAACTATGGGCCAAATTCTGCCTTCAAATACAGGCCTACAGCTCTCACTGGCTTCAAGAGCTGTTCTGCACACTTATGTAAGAGCAAAAGCTAGCCCTCAGTTTGGACTTTCATAAAACCACTGAAGTGTTTATTGGTTGGGTTGGTTTTTGTTTGCTTGTTTTTTGTAGTAGTTTCAAAAAAAGTAGGAGGAGGAAATATCAATAGCAAGTACCTTCTGCTAGCTTGCTATGAAAATGAAAGGGGCTTGACTATACTGGATGAAATTCTGTTGATTTATTACTAACGCATATATTTAATTATGTTAAACAAGAAACGGATCTAACTTTAACCTTTCTTTTAATCGAAGGAGATCATCATGGGACAAAGCAAGGGTCAGCTCCTGCTCCCATGCAGTCTACAGGGATTGCGACATTGACTTCAACAGCAGGAGAACTGAGCTATGAGCTAACATTGATAATATTGCACAAGTAGTGATTGCATGGAAACTTTCTCCCTTTAAATTTTCCATGGATGGTAGCTTGCTATGTATTCTTGTAAGTGCTATGTGCTATGAACATTTTCACATTTCCTTGTAAGATATTTAGGATCTGTCACAAAAAAATCAAAAAGACACAAATATTCTAACACTTTAAAAATATTGTTTGAAAAGGGTTTTCACAGAGTTAAGAAACTGAAGAATTCCTCGATTCACAAGTACAGGTACTTTAGTGAAAATGCCAGTTCCTGTGATCCTGCAATGCCAGACTTGTTGTAGTATTGCCTAGTGTTAACCAAAAATATTTGCTAGATTTTTTACAGGCATTGAAAAGCATTATCTTATTATTATTAATTATTATTGTTGTTGTTTATGGTTTATTATTAAAGTTGTTATTATAAGATCTAAGATTAAAGATTTTGCAGTTAGTAATATCTTTAGGTAATAAATCAAAGAGCCCTCACCACATTTACTACACAATATCAAATATCTAGGTGCCACATCGTGTAATCTATCTATCTTTCTTTCTTTCTTTCTGAAATGCTAAAATATCAGAGAGTTGATGACAGAGAAGAAATGTTAGTACTGTAATCATAAAAGTTTTAACCCTTATCTTTCATCATCTAACACTCATTTACTCTCAGGTGCCCCATTTTCCTTCTACAAAAATCTCCTGTACATACCAAGGTGATGAACACAGTATAAATTCCTGAATAGACTGATAAGATTTAATTAGATAGATACTTTTGTTCTACTATACTTCCAATGATAGATAGGATCATGCTACTTAAATAAACAGACCTATGAAAAGAACAGAAAACTCAAGACCTTTACATATGCTTTCCAAAACTGTGAATGTTTAACAAATTTCACTTTGCATGAAAAATAAAATAGCAAAAGGCTTGAATATACACATCTGCTTTATCAGTACATTAAAAAACATTCGCAGTATGTATGCTTTCATTTTTTTTACAATTATGGGTTACTTCCTCCCCAGTATTTTACTACTATACATTTATAGGCCACATTCAGCTACCCACTGAGTTAATACCTTACTCTGCAAACAGTTTTATTCATTTTAATGGGACTACTTGCAGCATAAGGTACTACTGAGTGGGCCAGATCCTGAGTTGTGTAAATTGGCATAGTTACTTTGCAGCTACACTGACTTACGCAGTTTGGGATCTGGCCTAATTAGGGTACGGGTGGTAGAACTGAAGTGTTTAGCAACAATCCTTTTCTGGGTATAAATAATAATAATGCTGCGAGTGACAGTAAATCTTTACACGTCCTGTCACCACTAGACTCTAGATAAGACATTCATGAAGATTCTGGGGGTTTCAAAAAACATTACTGTACAACAGGAATGGCCAATATTTGTTCCCATTGATATCAAAAGGAGTTTTACTATTGACATCCTTTGGAGCCAGTGCAACCTCTACATGCAATTACTTAATTTAAGAAGGACAGGTGTACACTAGAAACAGTTTGCTAGTGTAACTATATCAGTACAGCTATACCTGCAAACCCTCTTTGCATAGATGAGGCTTATACCAGCAAACAAGTGCTTATACCAGTTCCCTGAGTAAAATAAACCATACGAGCAAAAGCTCTTTCAAGCTGGTATAACTGAGTCTGCACTAGGGCTTTCGCCAGTACAGAAATGTTGCAAAAAAAAATCACACCCCTAATCAAAACTGCTTTACCTGCAAAGGTTTCTTGTGTAGATCTTGCCTCAGCTGATGTGCTCATCTACAAGATGCTGCTTGTTTTGCTTTTTCTTTGGAGTTATATTATTTTTTCTTCACTTGTTAATTATTTGCTCTACTTCAAAATGTTACACTTTCATAACTACAGTAAACTGAAGTCAATTAGAAAACCTTAGTTTTAATCTGCTCTTTAAAGTCCTGTGTGATATCACTTTTAAAAGATAACTCCACATAGTTATTATTATAATCTCAGAGATACCCAGAGCTCAGCTCCCTATAATCAATAATTAGTGAAACTGTGGCTTAACACAATTTTCTATTTTCCCCAAAGCACATACAATCTTTTCAGATCAATTTGTAGATTACTACCCTAGAGCAAGATTACAATGTACACAAACATTTTTTCATATCACATTAACTCACTTAATTTGCACACAGATAAAAGGACTGATATTTTTATTTAATTTTATCAGTGTAGGGCCAGATCCTCAGCAGTTGTTAATTTACTCCAACTGAGGATCAGGCCTGAAATCTTTACAGTATTCTCATAAAAAAAGAATCCAAAAAAACTACAACAAAATAGCCCTACTGTCATCTGCTGGCAGTCCCATTACAGATATGATAGTGGCAGTTATTTATCCATCTAAGGCCCCAATTCTTAGCTGCACTGCAGCTGTTTTATGCCTCATCAGAGCTAAGCAGCCTTAACCTGGCAGATCCCAGGAAAGGGGAATCCCTGCTTGGCATAGAGCCATTACTTCTCCTCCTGGCTGCCAGATGGTGGGCATGGGCAAGGGAAAGGTCCCAGTGCCCTGGCAAATCTAGGCTGCCAGAACAGTCCTTTGGAAACATTGGCAGCCAAAGGAAATTAGAACAGTCTCTTACAAACTCATCCCTATTTTTGAGAAACCTCTTTAAGGTCTGGCCAATCCAGCGGGAACTCTTCTGGGCCCTGATCCATTTATATTCCCATACTCTGGTATTTCACTGGTCAGAGATTCCCCAGAATGGCAGCACTTGCCAGACCACACGAGATTTGAAAGAACCTTCACAGGGGGCCCAGCAGAGTGGCTAACACAATTACTAGACCTTAAATCAGGATCTTCAATGTGAAACAGGGCTTGTAGAAGATGGGAGGCGGGGGGAGCAGGGTGAAACAAGAGTCTGAATGAGAAGGAAGGTATTGAAGATCCCTTGTGCAAGCCTTTAAAAAGGCTGGGGTTTGAGTCACAGAAGGGCAGTTTTACTATGAGTGAGAATGTGCTTATCCATTGCTAGGAACTATAGCCACACATATGAGGCCAATCACTGCTTGCCTTACTCATGAGTGCTGCCCCATTTACGTCACTGGGCAACATTTAGACCAAGGCCCCTTTTCACCACTCTTAACAGTGTAAAGAGCCCTAAAAGCAGATATATAGTCCAGATGCACCTACTTTAAGGCCTCTTTACACATCAAGAGTTGTGTAAAAGGGCCTAAATGCAAATGAGAATCCAGGCCATCAGTGCCATTAGGAGCATGAATAAAGTGAGCTAATTTAATGATGCTCCCTATGATACAAAAAAATTCTAGCACCATGAATGAGATAGGAGAGTACTGTAATTTAAAAAAAAGTGTTGAATAAACAGATTTCCCAACCCCACTCCCTCCACTCTTTTAAATATATAATTCTTAGAATATTGCTATTTTGGGGGGGGGAGGGGAGACAACCTTTTTGTTATTCAGTGTTTATAACCGAACATTTTTGTGACAGAGGAGGAAGAAAGAATGGGACCTTTGAAAATACATGGGGACTATGAATCCAAAGGACACCAAGTCAGCACCACAAAATTTTCATTTAACTGAAGAAGGATTCATATGAGTACCATCAGGGAAACACCTAAAGAGCCCTTCTGTGGACTGAATGGGGAGTTTATAAACATGTATTTCCTTAGACTCCTTGCATATGATAGTATTTTGAATTATGCTGTAGGTGTGAAATAGAAACATAAATTTGTTTATAACAAAATTATGGGATAGCCTGCACTGTATCCTGTTTTAAAAGTACACTTGGTATTCAAGGACCTTTCAGGAAGAAAATATTTATCGACCAACTGAAGCACATCATTTTAAATCATGAATATCTTAGTAATCAGCGAATAGCCCTCAAAGTGTTATGTGGCTACAAGTCACTGGCTATTAGATCAACAGTTAAATACAGTCAGCTGGGTAGTGACCATCTGATGACCAAAAGTGAAATGGCCAAAGTGAAATGAATTTGATGTTTGCAGTCTAGTGCCCAGTAGAGAGGTGTCTCAACAACAACAACAAAACCCCTTCCTCCATGAACAGCACTAACTTACACCCTTGGTGGCAATTTCAGTAAAGACCAAGCAATGAATGAGCATGAAGACTCACATACACAATGGGCACGACATGAGGCCCCTCCAATGCAAGTTTGCGGCATGTTTGGAGGTCTCTATATGGATACTTTTAGGATACATCCATTTTTAATCTTAATAAATCATGTTGGTGTCCCTTCAAATACATATTAATATGCCTCAGTTTGTTATAAGAGTCTCTTTCACCGTTTGCTACCGTGGAGTGGACATCCAATAACACGAGGAGACAAATCTCTCCAAGTCAACACAATGAGATGAGCTGATGCTTGGAAATAAAAAGAAAATTGCTCGCTCATGTGATTGGCAGATTGTTTCATCAGCACAAATTTAGGTGCTTCCAGGAAATCTTTATGTTGTTTCATCTCCATTTCACCCTTCACAAAATTTGTTAAAATTCAGATTAAGTGACATGCCATGATTGTATGGAAGATCAATTTTTGATGTTTACATAGTTTATACACAAATGTGTACTATTTGCGATTTGCAGAGCCATTTTTATAAATGTCTTGACAGCACTTAAACTGAACTTTGTTACGTAGCCAAAAATTAAACTATTTTTCTTATTTCCCCCCAGATTTTAGTATGTTCTCTGATGGGGGAAATTGATTTACCATGTTAATTTTACACCTATGCAAATACTGGATTTCCAGTTTTTGAATATTCATATGATAAAGTTATACAGCGGACATATTTGCTTAAATATTAACATTACCAAAGTCACCATTATTGCTAATTAATAAACTTCAAATGGATTACTGAATGAATATTTTTGTCTTAACCATTTTAAAAACCTAGGCACACGATAGATACTAAGGGCCTAATTCATCACTGAATTACTACAGTGTTATGCCACTTTAACTCCAGAGTTACACTGGTGTAAAACTGGAGTAGCACAAGTCGTGAATAAGGCCCTAACACAAAAAATACAGTGCACACATTTTATTGTATAATTTATTGTTTTTTCCACTGAGCTAGCTATATTGCTTTATCCATTTGCGTGACAGGATACCTAGGAAACAGCTGAAAGAATTATTTGCAATGAATCTAAAACACACTGGATTAGAAATATGTAGACAAAAAATTTTGTTAAGCAAATAACAGAGTAGCTATCCCTTAGTCAGTGTTCAGAAATTTAACCCCTTCATGTTAATCTACTGTGCATCTAATAATTCACTGAGTCAAACATTATGTATTCTGACCAATTCTTAATTTGCAGCCTTTATTTTGTGTGACCTCACATCCACTTTGTCAGTGTTCTACCCCCCCCCATTCTGTCTCTATTTAATTGCATTTGTTATTACTACAAAAAATCAAAAAAGAGAACGACAGCACAAACGTGCACTTTAAACCCCCCAAAAAACAGGAAATTCAGAGTTAAGGCAGAAGCTCTGTACAAACGGCAATCCTTGTGCTGATGCATCCAAGGGGTTTCAAAAGAGCGTGATCTCACTTACCTCACACTGTACATGTTGCAAATAGGCATTTCAGAGTGAGCTACAGGCTGAGTCTGAGCCTTCACTTTGAATTTGTAAGCATTCATGAGTTTAAATAAAACAATGGACATTATTTACATATGTTTTTGTGTCTTATTATTAACAAGTGAGATACAAAACTGACGTCTTGGCTGTCTGATTAGTTACTCCTTTTCAGCTGAAATTGCCATTTGCAGCCACTCAACATTTACTGTTTCTGAGAAGCTTCTCTGTCCAACCAGCTACAATCTGCAATATGTGAGACATAGCCGATAAAAGTTCAATGTGCAAACAGAAAGGGCCCAATCCAGTAAGGTGGGAATTTCAAAATCACCTATGGGAGTTTAGTGCCTAGCACAAAATGAAAATCAATGGGACCTGTATACCCTGAATGCTTTTA